GGGTCTGTCTCCTCCTCTGGAAAATGAGAGCATTAGATTCAATGGTTTGCCAGGCTGTTTTCTATATGTAAAATTGCTCTGAGAAATCCAAGGGCAGCTAGGGAGCTCTGGGGATAGAGCACCAGGCCTGGAGTCAGGAAGGTCTGAGTTCAAATTTGGCCTCAGGCACTTACTATCTGTATGACCTTGGTCATATCACTTAACTTCTGTTTGTCTTAGTTTCCTCGACTATAAAATGGGGATAATAATGGCCTATACCTCCCAGGGTTATTATGAAGATCAAACAAGATGATAATTATAAAGGCCTTAGCATAGTACCTGGCACACAGTCTATAAATGCTAGCTGTTTGTATTATTAATACAATATTTCCAAAGTCAGAAGAGATAGGCTTACAATCAAGAATAATTTACATTCAAAGTTAAGTATTAGTCTACAGGGAAAAATGAATCTTCAATAGAATAGAGGACTTTTTTTTTTTTAGGCAATTGGGGTTAAGTGACTTGCCCAGGGTCACACAGCTAGTAAGTGTCCAGGTGTTTGGTCTGAGGCCAGATTTGAACTCAGGTCCTCCTGACTTCAGGGCCGGTGCTCTAGCTACTGCACCACCTAACTGCCCCGAATAGAGGACTTTCAAGCATTTTTTTAAAATGGAAAGACCAGAGCTAAGTAGGAGCTTTGAAAACCAAATATAAGCCCAGAGAAATCTAGAAAGGTAAGCTTATTTGAACAGTTGGGTGGAATTAGCTTTCTAATGAGGGCAAAGAAACATGTATCCCTACAGAACCTTCCCGCTTTCAAAGGGTATTGAGGGAGATAAGTAAGAAAGACAGAGGTCCTTGGTGGGGGGTAGATTGGTTCTGTTCTGAGGATTTGAAGAGGGGAAACAGGAAGGGAAATGGAAGGAAGAAGGGGAGAAACAAAGATAGTAGAAGGGCTGGGGTGGGGAGAGGATAGTTAAGCAGGAAGGTAATAAGTGATCTTCAAGGGCGTGATTAAAAGGAGAAAAGGGAAAAAAATTAGAATCAAATGGGGGGGTACCTTAGGTGGCCTCTAGACAGCAAGGAAATGGCTGAACAAACTGGCATATGAATGTCATGGAATATTATTGCACAGTAAGAAATGATGGGAAGAGATGATATCAGAGAATCTGGCGTAATAGGAACTGGTGCAGAGTAAAGTGAGCAAAACCAGGGGAACAGAACATGGTAAAGAAAGACAACCTTGAAAGTTGTAAGACCTCTGATCAATGTGATAAGCAACCACTATTCTACCTCCTGAGAAGGAGGTGGTGGACCACAGGTGCAGAGAGGGGTGTATCTTTAGACATGACCACTCTGGGGGTTTGTTTGGTTTGAATATGCGTATCTGTTACAGGGGTTTGGTTTTTCTTTTTAATGGGGTTGTGTGATTTATAAAAAATTTCAAGAGATATAGTTTCTGGGTAATTAATCTTTTTATTAATTATTGCTAGTGGATAATTAATAAAAGGGCTGAGTGGCACTCTCAAATACCAAAGACCCCTCATGAAACCCACTCATTGCTTATATGCCTTTGGAAGAGTGGGTCTTCCTGAGGGTGGAGATCAACTTTGATTGGTTAACAAGTAATGAGAGAATGAATATTCTAATGAGAGGTGGGCCTATTCTAATGAAGGGCTGGGGGACTGACTTTGATCACTTTTGCTCCCAGACCGCCCCAAGCCTCCGGCAATCTAGACAAAGGATCTGTACTCCTCCCCCTCACCTGAGTCTACCTGAGTGGAATACAATGGGCCAGAATTCACCTTAGATTAAATTCATTCTAAGATTTTCTAGTTGGGTGGGATCTCCCACCCAGGACTGAAAAGCACATACCCTGGAGATCTGGGCAATCTCATCCATCAACAATGTCCTTCAGAGACTGAATAGCCTACAGGTTTCTGGTTTCTGAATGAGGAAATAAGAAGGGAAAACCTCAATTCTAATTTAATAATTGATTATTCATATAAGAGAGAGATAATCATCTTTCTCAGTGGGGATGGGGGAGAGGGGGAAGTGAGGGGTCAAGAGTATTGTCAAAAAGGAAAATCACTTACATTTTTAACAAGTGTACAGAACGAAAGAAAGTTCTGAAGGAAACCTGGACAAGCTGGGCAATTCTGAAACCCACATGCATAATTTATTATATACTTAGTATGAAATGGAGACTCATGGTTTCATATAAAATCATCTTTTTGGGTCTCTGGAAATGTCCTTTTTGGACCAGGGGCTGCATCTGTGGTGGAGGCCTTGGGGCCTAAGGCCTGGTGACTCCTGGGAGTTGTTAGTGTGTCAAAGTGGGCACACTGACTTCCGTCCTGATGTTCCTGTTCCTTCATTACAGCCTGAATCTTCTAGGACTGCTCGACTCTGACTGGTTCCTGTCCTTATCACACCCCAGAGACAGGAAAGCAGCTATTTTTAGTGAAGACATCACAAAACGGTAGAATGAGAAGGAGCCCTGGAACGCAGAACCTACACAATCACTTGCAGACCAACTCCTGACTTGCATTGGTAGGAGGAGTTTCCTCATCTGGGAATTCCCTGTACCAATGAAATTACAGGTCGCAAGTTATCATCAGCACCTTCTAAACGTTGGTATCCTACAGAAACCGCCCCCCAGTCGATTCTATATAGGAAGCAGCAGGAGAAGAAATGTTTTTGTGGAATGGTTGAGGGAAGAGGCTAACCACCTAGAGATTACCCTTATCATCTTGAGATATGAGGAACTGAAAACATTGGCATTTGGATGAACCAGTTTTGGTGGAAGGGTGGGGGTGGAGAGTGTGGCCAAGAAGGAGTAACTTCAGTCTGGGGAGTCAGAAGAAAGACTTATCTGAGTTTGAGACCTGGCTTGGGCCTTTCTTAGCCTGATGACCCTTCTCTGAGCCATGTTCCTTCTGTGAAATGGGCCACCCACCTCACAGGATTACCATAAAGATCTCCGTAAATTTTATTATTATCATCATCATCAATCAACCAACAGGTGTTATTTTAGTCCTTACTAAGTGCCAAGAGCTGGAGATATAAAGAAAAAGTAAAAAAAGTCCCTGTCCTCAAGGAACTTCATTGGGGGGGAGGGGAGACAACATCTCTAGATGATCGCATACAAGATATACATAGGGTAGATAGAAGGTAACCTTAGAGAAAAGAGACCTGAGCAGTTGGGGGAACCAGGAAAAGGCCCCTTGGAGGAGGTCGAGTGGTAAAGGAAGCCAAGGAGTCTGAGTTGGAAGCTTGGCAGGACAGAATTCAAGCCATGGGGACCAGCCAGTGCAAAGGCGGAGATGGGGGGTGGAATGTTGTTACTGTTATGGCTTTATTGATCCACTGATTCTTTGGTTATTTATTCTTATCTGGGGCTGGGGATAAAGAACTCTCAGATGAGGAAACTTTCCACCAAGGCAGATGGGCTCCTCCTCTGCATCTTCTAGGCTTAGGAGCTGCCTGGGGCCTGAGGAGGGCCCAGGGTCCCACAGCCAAGATGGTCAGAGGGAAGACTTAGACCCAAGTCTTCTTGATTCCAAGGCTTGATTCTACCCACTGCACCATCCATTATTACATCATGCTGTCTGCCTCTTATTTTTATTAATGTCTCATTACTACCTTATCATGGGGCAGCTAGGTGGCACTACAGTAGAAAGAGCACTGGGCCTGGAGTCAGGAAGACCCAAATTCAAATATGGCCTCAGACACTTACTAGCTGTGTGACTCTGGGCAAGTCACAAACAGTGCCCTGTTTGCCTCAGTTTCCTCATCTGTCAGATGAGTTGGAGAAGAAAATGGAAAACCCTTCCAGTATCTTTGCCGAGAAAACCCCAAATTGGGTCACAATCAGACATGACCGAAAGGACTGAACAACAACAACAAATTATCTTATCATGGGTTGGCAGTGACTCAGGGGGCTCAGTAGCCATGTCCAGAGAGTGTAAGCTCTGGTAGGTCCCATCAAGCTTGCAAGGCTTCATGCGTGGCCCCATGGAGGGGCTGAATGTCTGTTGTCCAATGACCAGGGCAGCTCAGTTCTGAGAGGCTTATCACAAGATTGGCCATTGGGTAATGATTCGGGGGACAACAAAACCTCCCCCAACTGCTAGTGCTCCCCACCAGTTACATTATCTTGATTTTGTTTCTATTTTATTTCTAAGTGTACATTTGTAGGGTGACTCCCTTGATGGGATATAAGCTCCTTGAGGGCAGGGCCTGTTTTGTTTTCTGTCTTTGTATCTATCTCCAGTGCCCAGCACAGTGCCTGACATACAGTAAATACTTAATAAATGCTTATTGATCAATTGGTTTGTGTAGCAGGGCCCAGTCCAGCCTTGCTATCCAGAAATGATGAAGTTTTAGTTTTTTGAAGGAGTCAGGAGACCTGGGCTTGGATCTTGGCTCTGGAATTGACTGGTTATGTGGAAGGAAGGAAGGAAGGATCCTTAACCTCACTGGGTTGGAGGGGCTGGGGCAGCCCTTTTTCAACCTATAGAAAGAGGAACTTCTGTTATTTATTACACAGTTGACTTGGGATTCTCAGTACCTTCGAATTACGATCTCTTGAATAAACCATCTTAAATTTGTTGAACTTTGCTATATTATGTTGATGACTATGAAGAAACCATTGAAGCTCCAAGTCCATCGAGTCCAACCCCACCATTTTACAGAGAGGGAACCTGAGGCCCAGGTTGGGGAAGTGACCAGTCCCTCAGGATTGTGCACTCTGTGAGTGGCAGAGCTGGGATTCAAACTCAGCTATGGTGATTTGAAGTTGAGTGAAAAACACGTTATTCACGGGCCTATTTGACTAAGTGCATCTGTATATCAGTATGGTCACCTCTCAGGGGGAGAACCATTGGGTTTTGGGCCTAGTGCCAATTTGAGGCATTGCAGCTGCACCTTTCCAAAGGGACACCAGTGGCAGTAACCCCTATTCATCGCCTGCAGACCTGACAGTGATTCCCATTTCCCTTTTTGTCTTCCTTTTCTAGATGAAACCCTTAACGGCCCTGTCACTGACAGCCCGGAAAGTCCCAAACTGCTGCCTCACCACAAGTTGCCTGTGCAGAGGAGTGGGGAAGCCGAGCCTGGGAGAAAATCCCCAATTAGGCCCAGTTCTGATGGCAAGTTGGAGCCATGCCCAGAGGTGGATGTGGGCAGACTGGTGTCCAGGCTGCAGGATGGAGGACCCAAGCCCCCTGCCAAAGTGGCCAATGGTCTGATGATGGGCCCTGGACCGGCTAGGGTCCCCTCTCTTCATGTGAAAAGGCCAGCTCCCAGGCCTCTGGCTCATAGCAAGGAGGGTAAGTGCATATTTTAGGGTTGGAGTTGGGATAGGGGATATTCCATGACCCAGAATGGAGGCAAACCACTGCCTTCCCTTTGCTTCGTGAATGTGCCTGCAGGATTTCACTGAGGTTAGTGAAATTTGAAGTTAACTGGACATGAAACTTGGGAGGAAATCAAGAAAGGTTGGCCCTACAACCCTCTATTTTCCATCTTAACAGAAAGAAGGGAAAAACTGAGCCATGTTTGGCTGGACTTTGGGTTTCTGAGAACATTGTAAAATGAAAATGTTGCTGCCTCTATGAGAGTGCGAGGTGGACCCCAACATTTAGAGATGAATGTTAGAAGGTCAGATCCAAGACCCTGGCCAGCCAAGCTCAGGGCCCTCCTCGTAACATGACCTGAAGAAATGGTATCTCTACTAAAACCCTGGGGAAGCTAGGTGGCACTTCAGTAGATAGAGCACTGGGCCTGGAGTCAGGAAGACCTGAGTTCAAATCTGGCCTCAGACACTTACTAGCTGTGTGAACCCGGGCAAGTCACTTCACCCTGTTTGCCTCAGTTTCCTCATCTATAAAATGAGTTGGAGAAGGAAATGGCAAACCACTGCAGTCTCTTTGCCAAGAAAACCCCAGCTGGGGTCACAGAGAGTCAGACATGACAGAAATGACTGAACAATAATTAAAACTCACCTGTAGTGCCTCCCTCTGGCTATTGAAGGCTCAGGGATAGACTGTATGTATCTGTCATCCAGTGACTAGTAGAGCCAAGTACAACATGGAGATCACTAATGGGATAGGTTATTTTGGCTCTAAAGTGACTCATTCAACTATTTGCCCAGGTATACAGAAGACGCCTATACCATGCAAATCTTGGCCCTTTGAAAATATTGGGGTATATATCTAGAAGCCAGGCATGTGTACTTTGCCCCTGGCCTCGACAACCACATGGGCCTTGCCAATTGGATTCTGGGTAACTGCATCCTTCTCTCCTGTTAAGATGGAAGGGATCAAACATCTTAACAGCCCCTTTGTGTGGCTGGCGGGGCTAGGGACCTCTGTTTCTCCTCCCTGAAATAGAGTGTGTTTTGCTAAGGGCCAGGCTGTAAGATCCAGCCAGTTTGACACTGATGGACTCCCAGTACCCCCCAGACTTTGTTTATCCTATTGATTGCTTTGTCTGCCAGTCTCAGGTGGTGCTGGGTTCTTCCTTGCTTCTATTCCCCTTTCCTCAGATGGCCCCAGGTGCTGTCACATGAACTGTGAAAGAAGGGGCTAAGTGAATAGCAGCACTGAGCTGACCCCGCCCCTCCCCACCCCCAAGTCTTGTTCTCAGACAGATAGACTCAAGAGCTTTGCATCAGCACAGTCTGGCTCTGCCATTAGTAAGAGGCCTAGAATTATCACACACTTGGCAAGACTCAAGGGTCTCCAGGCTTTACCAGTGGCAAGGGAGGGGCGGAGCAGAGCAGAGGAAGGAACGAAGTGATCTTTTTGCTGCAGTCGTGAAAAACTCAGCCTTAGATGCCTTCTCCTTAGCCCATCTCCATATGGCTAGCTTTGTTGGGGGGATAGATGAAAGGACCCCATCAACACTGAAGACAGGTTTCTGTGAAGACCCCTGCCTCAAAGCTGCTGTCTCTTTATTTTGAGCCCACTGAGGCTGGGCAATCATCTAAGCGGCCTGGCCAGGAATGAGGTGAGGGTTAGCTCACTCAGCCCACTTCTTCATGCCTTCCCATGGGATTTGAGAGATGGTATTCAATTGGCTCAGATCATTTAGGATCATAGAGTTTAGTGCTCAAGGGAACCTTGGATATCAGAGAGTTCAAGCCTCTCGTTTGCCTGAACTGGAAATTGAGAAAATGATTTGCACAAGGTCATACTAGAAAGGAACATACCCAGTATTCAGACACAGGTTCTCTAACACCAATTCCACTGCTCTTCCTACCATGCCATACTGCCCATCTTCTACTCCAAGGTCTCCATAATTGGATTCTTTCCTCTAAAATTCTAGTATCTGAGAAGCGTGCCTGGGAACGGTTTTAATTTGCCCTGCTTCTAATTGATCTTTCTAAACTCATTTTCCTTGTCAGATTTCTACATGCCTTTCTCTTTTCCTTTCTTAGGATGTTAGGGTCATAGATTTTGAGCTGGGAGGGCCCTCAGAAGCCATCTAGTCCAAATCCCCTCATTTACAGAAGAGGAAACTGAGGCCCAGGAAAGGGAAGGGACTTAGCTAAGATGACACAATAGGATCAGAGATTTTGAGCTAAAAGAGGCCATTGAGTCTATTTCCCCATTTTGTAGAGGAGGAAACTGAGGTCTAAAGAGATGTCATCAATGGAGAGCCATTGCCCCTATTGCTGTAGCCAAGTGCTATGGAAGAATAACCCCTGGACCAAGAAGTAAGAGACCTGGGTTCTAGTTCTGCTCCTGCCACTCAAGTGTCTTGGGGCAAGTCTTTTTCTTTCTTTAGACCTCACTTTCCTCATCTAAGGACTAAGCAGTCGTCTAGTGCAAGGGCCTCCATCAGCTCATCTGTAGAAGAATGACCCCCAGTGCTGGTAGCAGACACTCTGACATCTGAGGCAAAAAGGCCTCATGTTGTCAACACATATTCATTGAACGTGTTCTCTGCGACTGGTGCTGTGCTAAGCGGCCATGGGAGCCATGGCCCTTGTCCTTACCGCCCAGGTGAGGAGACAGACGTTTGTGTCAGTACTTGGATAGTTGTTGACTTAGTTGGTGTGGCTACTCCCCCCGAAAGGGGCCCTTCCTCCTTTCCTCTCTTCCCATCCTGTGGGTCCTTCTCGGAATTTATTCCAAGGATCTTAGATCTGGAACTCGAAGGGACCTTGGAGACCATCAAGTCTGGTCTCTCCATTTTTCAGTGAAGGAAGCCGAGGCCCAGGGACAGGAAGTGACTTGCCCAAGGTCTCACAGGCAGTGGACAGCAGAGTCAGGTTTCAAACTCAGTTCCAAGGGAACACTCAACATACTGCCTGCTTCCCCTGATGGAGGATTTCCCCAGCTCTGCAGACATTCCTCTGGTTCATTTCATGTTGTATGGATACTGAGATGGTCCATCTGTTATCCTTCCCTCTTGTTACGTTGCTGGCCCACTTCCCTTTCTGGTTAAGGACATCTTCCATTGTGCATATAATCAGATTCTCTTATATATACATGCATAACCAGTGCTTTTCATTCATATGCATAAGAGGAAAGCGTCCATGGCCAAGTAAAAGGAGTGTCCCAACTTTTGTTCCTCTAGACAAGCAGGGGGAGGACAAGCCAGTGTGGGTGAGAGTTAGTAGAGAAGGAAGGACTGATGGAGAGGATGCGATAATCACCCTTTTACAGCAATCATTCCTCCCTCAGCGAAGAGATGAAAATTTCTTTTGGGAGGTCTGTACTGTGTGTTTCCAGGACTTGAAACTTCTCTGTTCTTGCAGAATATTAAAGAAGAACCTTCCCTAGCATCTTCTGTAGGCCTGTGTTACTCTAGTCCTCAGCCTAAATTTTGGGAAAAGTCAGTACCAGAAAGTGGAAAGAGTTGTCAGGACATGGATCTGCTGCTTCCCGACTGTTTGCCTTTGGGCAAGCATCAGTTTCTAAAATGAGGGTGTTAGACTATAGAGGGTTTCTAATGCCCTCTAAGAATTTCTAAGAATTTGATCATATTCTCAGCTTTTTGATTCTGTGAATGCAGCCTCAGCTCAATAGTCCGTTTTTTTCTCTTGCCATTGGAAACCAGCCTCCTCCAGCCCAAAGTTCTGTTTCTCTCCCCTCTGTTACTGGAATAGTAGTGTTTCAGTGGGATAAGGAGCAAGGCCCAGAGGAGTTAAGTAACTTGCCCAAGGTCACACAGCTAATAAGTGGTGGAGTGGGGCCTAGAACCCATGGCTTTCTCTGATGTGACGCTTCCTTCCCCAGTACTTCTCTTGAAGCAAGGCTCTTCACTCTTGTGGCCTCTCCCAGTGTTCCAGAAGCTTCTTTCCTCTAACCACAGACCCCCTCCTCCCCCCTTCATGAAACCACACCTTCAGCCTACTCTCTCTCTTAGCAATTAATTGTCCCCATGGAACAATTCAGTGGTCTGCTCTGGGAAAGCATGAAAACCAGCCATGGTGGATTGTTAAAACATAACAAGTCTAAACGAGGAAACGTGGCTAATGGACAGTCGGTATGAGCCATTATTGAAAGAGCTCCTCTTCTCCTAAATACTCGGAACTTAGCTGCATTAGTCGCCCAGGTGGAGGGAGCTCTGAGGGCTGCTGTGATGAGTTAGTCGGGGCAATCGGCCTTCTCTCGGGTCTTCAGAGTAGGCCTTTTGGCTTCTGCCCTGCTCTCTGCCCTCTCTGCTCAAACCAGTAGGGCCATCAAACCAGTGAGACTTTTGGCCTCCCTCCCACCCCCCAGAGGAGACAGGAAGTACCAAACTGGGGGCTCTCAAAAAGCTTGGCTCCCAGCAAAATCTAGGAACCACAGCAGGGCCTCAGGCCTGCCTTTCTTTCTGTTCACATGCCTTCCTGCCTTTGTAGCTTATGCAGAGCACTGTCTGGCCTGAGTCCCTGGCTCACGAGTTTTACACACATCCATCTATGCCCAAGTGACTAATGAGAGATGTTGAGGAGGCTGGGAAACCCTGTCACTCTAGGAGAGCACTGGTTGGATTCCATCTCTCCCTGCTTGACAAACTTCAATGCCTCCAGAGTCAATTGCCAATGACAAAACACAACTGCTCTGTTTGGCATTTAAAGGCCTCTACAGCCTGCCAACAACTGGGTCTCATTTGAGTTAGGTTTTTTAAGGATGGTTTGAAAGGTAAGGGGGGGGGCAGCTAGATGGCGCAGTGGATAAAGCACTGGCCCTAGATTCAGGAAGACCCGAGTTCAAATCCGGCGACCCTGAGCAAGTCACTTAACCCCATTGCCTAGCCAAAAAAAAAAAAAAAAAAAAGAAAGGTAAGGAGGGAAATCAGGAAAAGGGATGGCATCCTAAGTATTGGAACAGTGTGAGCAAAGGCCCAGAGGTGGGAAGGGGACAATGAGCTAAGGGAAGGGCAAATCGCCTAGTTTACCTGGAGCATAGAACATCTGAGTGAGAATAGTGTGAGGAAACGTAAGGGTTGGCCTGGAGAACAGGATCTAAAGAAAGGCGTAAGAGAAGAGCCTCACCAGGACAGAGGAAGGACAAGTTATATTTTCTACCTAATTTCACCCAGCAGGGTGCCAGCTAGATAGAATGGATGTACCCTCAGTTAAAAAAGTCTGAACATTGCAAATTAGCCCTGTCAGGAATGAATAGTAACACTTTGAGCTCTATTAGACGTCTTTCACAATCATTGAATCCAACACTTCCATTTTTCAGAGAGAAACAACTGAGGCCCAGAGATGAAAGGCCCATCATCACCCAGTCAAGTAAAAGAGCTAGAATTCAAACCCAAGCCCTCGGACTACACATTCATTGTTCTTGCTTCAGTGCTCAAATAACCAAGAAAGAAACTCAAGATATTGACTGTGGTTCCTAGCAAAATTCTAGAAGAGATTATGAAAGAGATGTATTTATTTCCTTTCTTTTTTCCTCCCTCCCCTTCCTCCTCTCCTTCCTCCCCTCCCTCCTTCCCTTCTTTAGAGCTTCTGTAGTGATATACTAAGGAAATGCAGCAGATATAGTTTGCCTCATTTCAGCCAAATATTTGGCCAGTTTTTCTGACTCTCCTTGTGGACAAACTGAGGAGAAGAGGTCAAGATCTGTTAGGTAGATTTGAAATTAATTGAAAGCTCACAATACTTAGTGGTTCAACAGGAAAGGAGGTTTCTAGTGAAGTTCCCCAGGGATCAGTCCTAGGCCTGGTGCTATTTAATGTTTTTCTCAATGACTTGACTAAAGTCGTAGATAGCAACTCATCCATCTTTCAGATAACATTGGATGGTAGAGTCAAGATCAAAAAGCATCTGTCTCAGTTACCTGGCATGTTGGCCCAAGTCTAAGCAGATGAAATGTAATTAAGGACAAATAGAAGGTCTTATGCATCAGTTTCACAAGTATAAGGTGGAGGGGCTATTGACAAAATCATAATTTATCAAAAGATTTGGGGCTTCAGTGATACTGTAGGTACAGTAGGACCCATTGGGGTAATATAGTAGCTTGAAAAACAACTGTGACATTGATGGCATTGAGAGGAGCCAGTGCGAGAGGCGTTGGCCCTATTGTCCTCCACCCTGGTCAGGACACACGTGGGCCATACTAATCGAACTATCAAGAAATGATTTTATAGAGGTAGAAAAAATCATAACAAAATTCACCTGGAAGAACAAAAGGTCAAGAATATCAAGGGAATTAATGAAAAAAAAATGCAAAGGAAGGTGGCCTGACTGTACCAGATCTAAAACCATATTGTAAAGCGGTAATCATCAAAACTATTTTGTATTTGCTAAGAAGTAGAGTGGTGGATCAGTGGAATAGGTTAGGTACCCAAGACACAGTAGTCGATGACTGTAGTAACATAGTGTTTAATAAACTCGAAGACCCCAGTTTCTGGGATAAGAACTCACTATTTGACAAAAACTGCTGGGAAAACTGGAGAGGAGTATGGCAGAAACTAGGCAGGGACCAGCATCTCACACTGTATACTAAGATAAAGTCAAAATGGGTACATGATTTAGGCATAAGGAATGCTACCACAAGCAAATTAGGAGAGCACGGAATAGTTTACCTGTCAGATCTATGGAGAAGGGAAGAATTTATGACCAAACAAAAGACAGAGAACATTATGAAATGCAAAATGGATGCGTTTGATTACATTAAATTGAAAAGTTTTTGCACAAACAAAGCCAGTGCAACCAAACACATGCCCCTAGGGCATCATGTTCACTTCTGGCTTCACTTACAGAAATAACTAGTATTTATATAGTACCTTAAGGTTTGCAAAGCATTTGACAGATATCTCATTTGCTCCTCACAACAGCCCTGAGAGATAGGTACTATTAGTCTCTCCATTTTACAGATGAGGACAGAGAGACTTGGCCAAGGGTAACTTTGCCCATCTAGTAAGTGTTCAAGTTTGGATTTGAACTCAGGTGTTCCTGACTCCAGGCCCAGTGCTTTGTGCACTGTGGTGCCCTCAGGATGACAAAGTGCTTTGAAGACTTACGGGAGATCCAAGAGCTGACTTCAAGTATTTGAAGGATTGTCATGAAAGGAGGTTTAAGAATTGTTGCGCTTGGCCTAGGAGGGCAGGACCAGATACAGTGAGTCCATCTGCCAAGGGGCACATTTTCTCCCCTAAGGTAGAAAGGGCTGCCTCAGGAGGGTTACTGGGTTCCTCCTCAACACTGCGTGGCCACACGTAGGGGGTGCTTCTGTGACTTCATTGGTGTGGATTGGCAGGGGGAAGAGAGAGAGGGTTTGCAAAGTGTTTTGCAGATCTTATCTCATGTCAACCAGTCAGCAAGCATTAGGTGCCTACTGTATACCAGGCACTGAAGATACAAAGACGGAACTGAAACAGTCCCTGCTCTCAGCAAGCTCACTTTTTTTTTGCAGGGAAACATGTCCACGTATAAATATAGACATGACATCTACGAAGTAAGATCCAAGGTGATTCCAGGGGTAGGGGAGAAGCCTTAGATTGTAGGCCAGGGCTTCTGCTGAGCTTTGAAAGAAACTCAAGATGCTGAGAGATGGGAGAGAGGAGGGAGGGCATGCCTGGCCTGGGGCCAGTATGTACAGAGAGACATTGAGGGACATTGAGAGAAATTGGGGATGGAAAGAGGCCATTTTGGTGGGACATGAGTCTAGGAAGGGAAGTACTCTGTCGAGGCAAGCTGGGGCTAAATTGTGAATGGTGGAGATTGTATTCGATCCCAAAGGGAGCCCTTGCCACTTCCTGAGGGAGAGGGGGTGGAGTGACAGATCTATGCTTTAGGAATAGCAATTTGGCAGTGGTGTGGAGGATGGATTGGAGAGGGGGGCAAAGTCAGGCCCATCTCAGAAGCCCTGGGCCATAGGGCAGGGGCTCCAGGGGAGTGTGCCAGGATTTGAGTTAGACTCAAACACAAGCGAAGCTGCTTTGGCACAGAGACCAAGAGAAGAGTCCAGTTGCTCAACCCAGAAGCAGAAAGCAGCTGGGATAGAGGAAAGAGTGTGAGACCTGGGGTCCAGTATTTGCTTGATGTGTGACCCTGGGCAAGTCATTTTCTTCATCTCACTTCTCCCCTGGAAGACTATCTATATTGTCACAGAAAGAGGAAGTTTTAGCAAAACCAGCAGCGAGTGGGTCTTGATGCTGAATTAGCTGTCTAGAGATTCCCCTTGCCCTGGACCATATTGGTTCCAGAACTTGCGGGGGGGGGGGGATGTCTGGGCCTTCATGTAGGAGTTTACGTGACTTCAGCTTTAGGAACTAGAGAAATCCCAGGGCATCCTGTCACAGTGAGGAGCCTGGCCTGGTTGGAGCAGAAGGTCCAAGGCTGGAAAGTTGTCTGGGGGCCAGATCACGGAAGGACTTGAGTGCTGGACCGAGGAGTTTAGACTTTAGCACATTGGTAATAGGGAGCTGTCAATAGTGTTTGTGCAGGGGAAGTGCATTAGAAAAACGTCTCTGGCGGTGTGTGCAGGGTGAACTGGAAGGGGGAGGAAGCTGGAGGCAAGATGGGGCTGGACGTTGTTGCGGTATCTGAGGTGGAAATGAGAATGGAGAAGGGCAGATATAAGAATGACGTTGCAAAGAATGGGGGGAAGGGACATGGGAGCCAGTGCCAGGGGCCCAAGAAGGGTGGGGCTCCCCAGTGAGCTGCATCGATTTTAATTAACCGTCCTCGGCCCCAGCTTATGCTGCCTTTGAACTCCTGGTAACTTGTGTTTCCCAACTTCTAGGTGACTATGACAGCTTCAATAAAGTGCGCTCCCCAGGAGACAAACCGGCAATAACTCGGCCTCCAGTGCGCCCCCCGGATCCTCCGTGCCGGGCAATTGTGCCCCAGAAGCCAGAGCCCAAGCCAGAGCCTGTGGCTGGAGGAGCTCAGGAAACCATGGCCTCTGTGTATGTAGCCAAAGTACTGGGGGAAACCAAAGGCACAGTGTGCATTGTGCTAGGCTGGGCAAAGCCCATGGCTGAGGCTTGGCCTCCAGGCCCAATTCTGCCCAGGCCTTGGTGGGGGGGGGGAAGCGTCAGGGCTTGATCTGAGACCCATCTTTCTCAGTTGCTCCTTACCCCCTTTAGGAAGATGAGGTTAGCCAGCTGGTTTCATGCTCTCTTGATTCTGAAATGTTTTGATTTTTGTTATTATTACCACTGGATTTTCAAGTAATTTAATTCCACCAAATGGAATAAAGCCTCTCCAGAGAGGCTTTTGGTGGAGGAACAGAGCCAGCGTGTGGCAGGCCTTCCAGAGGCCAGGCCAAGAGCCAAGGAATCAGAGCAGCCGTTGCTGGGGTAGGACTGTGGCCTAGCAGCACATCTCACTGAGCTGCCCAGCCTGGGCCAGGCTGCTGCAGCTGCTGACCTGGCCTTTCCAGCCACAACTGGGGCCAGTCACAGGGCACTTCCTTCCTCTCTCCTGGCCCATTGTTTGCAGGGTCCGTGAAATGGAAGAAGAAGAAGAAGGAAAAAAAAAAAACCCTCCTCCCTTTTGGCTAATTAGTAAAGCGTTTTTACAAAATGACAAAAGATTCCTGTTGGCGCCAAAACCGAGGATTCTTTCCATATTTGCCCCCAATAAAAAGCTTAAATATAGTCAGCAGTGATTACACAGACTCTCTGAGTAAATGGGGGCTTGGAGAGGCCAAGGCACAGAGAGTGGTCCAGGTCTAGAATTCCCCAGCTGTCCCTTGTCCCAGCACAAGCCAATCGTTGGGGTTCCTTAGAGACAGGTTTCTTCCAAGAGCCCGGGCAGCCTTTTCCCAGAAGAGAATGGAGCCCCTTCTACCTTGTTCAGTCGTTAGTCCAGGTCAAGGTTTCTTAAGCGCCTTCTGGACCAGGGACTCCATGACCATTGTTTGTTTGATGCAGGGGTCCAGACCTGGTGTGGTGAAGTGAGAAGTACCCCGGATTTAGAGCCAGAGGCCCTGGGCTTGAACCTAGCTGTGCTTTCTGAATCTATAAATGGGGAATAGAATACTTGGCCAACTCTACTGGGGTCTTCTTCAGTCCTATCTAGGAAGGGCTTTGCTGGGGAGCGAGGGGGCTGGGCCTTCCCAGTTGGCCCAGCTTTGGACTAGATAGGAGTGTTTAGCACAGTTCCTGGCATATAGTTGGTGCTTAATAAATGTTTATTATTGACCGAGGCCCCCTCTCCAAAAGGCATGGCTGGGTTTAGACCATGGGAGCTCTGGGGCCTCTAGGGTCCCTCATACAGATCAGCCCATGGCTCTTGAATTCTTGATGGCCTAGTGTGAGTGGCCTGTGAGGTCGTGGACGTGACGGTGTTTGAGGAATGGAAAGTAGCGTGTTATCCCAAAGCGACTTAACACGACTTGGTCTGCTTCTTTCTGCAGGGTGGCTTGCCGGACTCGTTTCTTTGAAACAGCTTCTCGGAAGACAGGAAGGTAAGAGATGTAGGCTGCCCTCTGCAAGTATTTTCCCTTCCCTCCTGAAAGCCATTCCCAATGAGGCAGCAGGGCTGTAGAGGGGAGGGCACCAGACTTGGAGTCGAGAAGACTGGCTTCAAAATCCTGGCTCAGATACATATTAGCTGTGTGACCTTAGACAAGTCACTTCCCTGCCGTGCCTCAGTTTCCTCCTCTGTAAAATGAGGGGGTTGGACTCTATGGCCCCTGAGGGCCCTTCCAGCTCTAGATGTAGGCTCCTGTGTATGACCCTCTTCTCCCTGGTCCTCAGTATCCTCTTCTGGAAAATGAAGAGGTTGGAGCAGATGGCCTCTGACGGTCCTTCCAACCTCAGCTCTATGAGCCTATGATCTAGGAAATATTTCTTGACTCGCACAGGAGCCTTACAAAGAGCCCTGCAGGGACTGGAAAGCTTTCTGCCCACTCCTTAGGAGGCACGGCCTTCAGTTCTTCTATCCGGTGTGTTCCTCACCATCCCTGAGGGGTTGTATATTACCAATGGAAGGTCTCAAGGGGGTAGAAAGGAGGGACTCCTGGGGCCTGCAGCCCCTGCAGAGCCAAGTGCGTTAATGGCCAGCCCAAGCAGCCTGTCCGAGAAGCGATGTGGGCTGAAAAGTCCAGACTTTGGAGCACCACCCCCAGGGCAGAGGATTCACTGGGGGCCCAGGCTGGCTGTGTAGCTGGTACCCTGGTGAGTCCATTCTGGGGCTCAGTCTTGGGTGCCCTGGCCTCCCTCGAATGGGTCCCAGATCAGTCCCCACACCTCATCCAAGAGGGTAGGCAGTTTTAAGCAGTTCTTCAGACATGATGGAGGCAACAGATCACTCACCTGAGGCCTACCACCCTCCCTCCACTGTGCTTTGTTCACTTCTATCCTGATAGACGCACACAGGCCATGGGGGCATGCTGTGGGCTCTCAAATTGGCTGCCTAAACACTTCCCTGGCACTTGAATCCAAGAGATCTCAGAGGACACCTACCCCAACTTAGACTTGAGTCGCAGTCGCCTCTCTAGGTCTCTCTCGCCCAGGCGTCCACAACATCCTCTATTGTCTACCTTCTTTTTCACCTCTGTCGGTGACTGGGAAATCACTGTGCCTCAACTCTCCTTGACTGTTCTCTTTGGGTTGTTTCCTGTTGGGTCCAAACCAAACTCCTCAAGGCACCTTAAATTAACTGAGTCCCAACTCACTTCTCTCCAATGTCCCTTTTCACGATTCCCCAGTGTGGCTCTGGAAGATGAGGAGAGTACCGAAGCATCTTCTATTCCAAGATCAAAGTTGGGCTCACCCTTCCCAGACAAATCTCCTAACCTAGGGACCCACAGAGCAGGTGTCCATGGAAATCTTGAAGGAGGAATCAGAGCACAGTGGCCGCCCTGTTCTCCTCTAGTCTTCAGAGGACCTTCCCTGTGGGCCAGGAGAGCAGCCTCAACGAGACCCTCTATTCCCCTCCTTCTCGTTCTCACCCTAGACATTCTGGCCTCTTACTCATTGAGATTTTGCTTCTCCTTTCCACACAGTTCCTCATCTCCACAAGGAAGACTCACTGGGGATGAGAGTTGAGGCACAAGGTATGTATATGGTACACATCTCTGGCTCCAGGACCTTACCTACCTTGGGTGGGTCTTACTAGTAAGATCAGTCATGTGGGCCATGATACACAGTGGGGTCAAAGGCAGAAGCTGTGCTCTGAGTCCTGTCCCCTCTGGAATCAGTCTCAGGGAGAACAATTGAGAAAGTCTTTTTCTAATCTGCCCTTTCTCTAGGATTGGAACTTGAGGGATCGGTGATAGCATCAGGGCCTCCAAGCAGACCACTTGTAGGGTTCCTTTCATGTAGTTCTGGACTGGACTTAGTGGCTGCAGCAGGCCCTTCTAACCCTCAAATTCCGTGACTCTCTGATTCACTGATGCAGAGCCAAATGGCTCCATGGCCTCCCCGAGATTCTGTGGCTGAAGACGGCCGCCCTTCCAGCAGTGATCCTCCCTGACCTTCGTGAGGCTGGTTCCTGAACATCAGCCGGCATGGGCCTGTCCTTGATGTCTTGTTAGTTTGACAGGGATGACCAGGCCTTGTGATCACTTGCCCCATGGTCTTCTTGAGCCCTGGGTCACTGCCAGGCTCCAGGAAGAAGACAGCCAGAAGAGGACTTGAGGACTAGACAGTCAGACTGAGAGCTGGGGAGGGATCTTCATACTCAGTGCAAGCATCTGCCATTTAGGGCCAGAAATTTGCTACAAATGCCTCATAGCAATGAGTTGGCAGGGCCTGTCTTCTAGCATGGGAAAGGATAGAAAGAATCTGCCCTCACACCTTTCTCTGCACAGACCGCTAAGGAATTCTCGCCCCAGCATCTGCAGCCATCGAATTCTTCAGTAGATCCTGTTTGGGTATCTTTACATTCTTCCCAAAGAGTCAGACCCTTAACATTTATTTCAGATGTGTGCAGAGCCTCGTGCGACAGGGAAATTAGTGTCCTTTGACTAGGAACCCTGTCTAGATGACTGTCAAATTGCTTGTAACATTTGCTACCTGTGTGACCTTGGATAAGTCCCTTCCTCTCCCTGGGCCTCAGTTTCCCCCTCTGTAAAATGAGGGATTAGGTGCGATGGTCTCTGAAGTCCCTTCCAGCTCCAGATCTACTATCTTATTTGTGACCTGAGACAAGTCCCTTCCCCTCCCTGGGCCTCAGTTTCCTCCCCTGTAAAATGAGGGGGTTGGACTACTTGGTCTCTGAGGACCCTTCTAGCTTGAGATTTAAGATCTTAAGATGTGACCTTGGATGAGTCACCCTTCTGGTTCTATAAAATGAGGGAGTCAGACTGGAGACGGCTTTTATGCAGCTATACTATGGGTGGGGAACCTGCGGCCTTGAGGCCACATGTGGCCCTCTAGGTCCTCAAGTATGGCCCTTTGACTGAATCCAAACTTCACAGAACAAATCCCCTTCGTAAAAGGATTTGTTCTGTAAAACTTGGACTGGTCAAAAGGCCGCACCCAGGGACCTAGAAGGCCACGTGTGGCCTCGAGGCCGCAGATTCCCCACCCTGATCTATTTTTTCCTCATGGTCGGCATCATAATATAGGAAAGATCCACAAATTTAAGATAGTTCATAATTCATAGGTACAGACTGTCGCAGGGTAGCTGGGACATATGAGCCAAGATTGAACATTTCCAAACCTGGCCTTGGATGCTTTGTTTTTGTCTTCCCCTCCCTTTCTGCTAGTACCTTGCAGATAGGGCTTGGGGGAGGGGTAGAAAAACTAATCAGCAGAGGGAAATCAAGGCTTGTAAAAGGGATGGGCATGACTTGTCTAGAGGGACAGTGGCCATGCTGGACTGGTAGATCTTGGTGGAGACTAACTCATCAGGCCAGCTGTTCGAACTTCTGAAGTCAATCCCAGACTTCACACCGTGTGTCAGCACACCGCCAACCCATGTGCTGATCACAGCTTCTTTCTCTTCCAGTTTTTAGGAATCCTGGCTGGTCCCAGATGACTCCATGCTTCTGAAAGGGCCTCCTCTAAACTCTTGTGTGCTCAGGACCCCTGGGCTGAAAGGCAGCTCCCTGCTGGAACCTGGCTATGGAGAGTCCAGGAAACTGTAGAATTAGGGGGATTCTCTGGACATGTCTTATTTTCCCTTTGCATCCTTTCCTCATGGTCTCAGAACAGCTGTCTTGAGCCCAGTGGAAAGAGAGCCTGCTAACTTCCCAAACAGGCTGTGAACATTTGGGCTCATATCCCCTGGGGCAGGGAAGAGAGCCACCTCCTTCCAGTTAGACTTGGAGCCATCGGAGGCAAAGTCGGGGTGCCCAGGACTGGAATTCTCTCTAGCCTCTGAGCCCCTGGGAATTCTGCCTTCGAGGGCTGCCGAGTTCCGATGGAGTTGGAACACATGCCCCAGCTCTTGGGCCTGTCACCTCAATCCGTTCCTTTTCCCAGGCAATGTTTGGTTAGAGCCCTGGCATAATCAACATAGTTGCGTGTGTCTGGACATCTGCCATGCAGAGGAAACCTTTCACTGGCTGTTTTCCGCATTTTCAAGCTGGCAGCCGTGGGTCACCCAGAGCATGGCTGCTGTCAGAAGGTCTGACAAGAGGGGCCAAACACTCCCTGGGCTCTCTCTCTGGGTTCTCTGCCAGCTTTCTTGCATAAGTGTTTTGGAAACAACTGCAAACAAAAATAACACAAAACTCACCAAGCAAACATTCTGCTTTTGAAGCCCTAGCCTTGTTTTGAGTAAATCTCATTCTGTTTTCCTCCTGACAGTTTCTTCCCAGAACAAATGAGAGAAATGGAATTCAGAAACATTTCTAAAAGAATTCCTTCTGCCTGTCCCTCTTCTGGAGGGGCTGGGTTCTTGGGATGGATGGTAGGTTAAGGGAGCAGTGGTGATACAAACACAGTTGTAGCAACCAATTTCCAATGTCGAATCCAGGCCAATGCCTTGGGCTCCCGATTTCCAGTGTCCAGTCCAGGCCACTGCCTCGGGCTCCCCATTTCTATTCCCAACACCTTCTGTGTGTGACCTGGCCCCCTTTGGCAGCATGGCAAAGCCTAGGGACCCCTTTGCAGAATCACATATTTCCATGCAGAGGTTTACAAAGGAAGCTCATTCATTGGAATTTTGTTAGCAAAATATTTTTTTTCAAAGATCCGTAGGTTTCACCAACTCCAGGTTAAGAGCCCAAACCCTACAGGAAATCTCCCTAGAGACATTGCCTTACAATGTGGAGAATCTTTCCCCCCCATCTAGCAGGGGGCTTTAGTCTACAGGCCTTAGCTAGGCCTTAAAACGTAGCCAGTTTTCAAACTTCAGACGTTAGCTTTGCTCTGAGCCCAGGGGTCCCGTAGATTGAATACTACATGAAACCCTTCCAACTGAACACCTAATTTCAATTTGGTACCTTTCTTACTAATCCTTAACCTGTTCCCCAACCTAATCTCGTTCAAACCTAGCTTAGAGTGTTCCTGCCCTGTGTGTGCATGGCTTCTGGGCATCGGCCCTTCTTTCTTAGCTGTTTGTGAAATCCCTCCTCTCGGGAGAGGACCCTTCATAGGCCTGGCAATCTACAACTGAAGGCAAAATAACACGGTGTGTTCGAGTTCTGGGGAGTAAACATTTCCATGTCCTGCCTCCCTCTCCTCCCTCATCACCTTTCCAGTCCCAGCCCAGGAAAGCAGCTGAGCAGAGCCGTCTGCTTTCAGGACTCTCTCTGGAACATTGGCCCTACCTTGTTCTCGGGGTTGGGTGTCTGGCAGGCCCTGCCAGCGTTGTTTAGGGTTGGCCTTTTTGCCTTTCATCCAGCCAGCAGAGATGGGCAGTGGTGCTCAGGGGGCAGCATACTGCAGGAGGGTGAGAGTGTGTGTGTGTATGGGTGTGTGTGTGTGGAGGGGTCCTTCTGTGTACCTCGGTGCTGCAGGGCTGCTAACCCAGTGTTACTGGGGCCTTTATTGTCCTAACCAAGAAAACTTTCTCACTTTGGGTTATTGGGGAGTTTAACACATACATGGTCCAAACGTTCAAGGTCTTGGGAGTGTGGGTAGATGGTGAGTGAGTAGAGCTCTGGGCCTGGAGTCAGGAAGACCCGAGTTCAAGTCGTGCCTCAGATATTTATTAGCTATGTGGCCTTGAACGAGTCACTTTATCTCTGCTTTTGAAGCCTCAGTTTCTTCAGCTGTAAAATGAGGGAGTTGGACTGCAAGGCCTTCAAGGTCCCTTCGTGACACTTGAAGAAATGATGTAGACTCAGTTGATTGAGCCACTCCATTATTCAGTAGGCAATAGCCTAATTGAAGCTGCTGAGAAATCCCCAACATGAGGTCCAGTTAGAAGCTTAGAGTCTAGCCTGGAGATCAGGGAGTTGAGTTGGAAGGATTGGGACTCCTTTCTACAACAGCCTCGGAGGCAGAAAGAGCCCTGGCCACTGGGATCTGGCCTTAAATTCTATCTCTGATACTCTCTGTGTCACCTTGGACAAGTCACTTCCCTCCCTGGGCCTCAGTTTGCTCCTCTGAGAGGGTAGCTGCAGGATCCTATGTGTGACCTAGGCCAAGTCACTTCCCCTCTCTGGGCCTCAGTTTCCTCCTCTAGGTGGCCTCAGGGAGCCCTGCCAGCTTCAGCTCTGGGATCCTACAGTCCTTTGCTTCTCCATCCTTGCCTTGAACCCGTCTCCTGAGGGGAGAGTAGAATTTGCTAAATCCATAGCCAGCCCGGTCCACTTTTGGACAGCCTCTCACTGTTGGGTGAGAAGCCGCAAGGCATGATGGTCTCAGAGTCAGGAAGAGCGGGGTTCAGATCCTGCCCTAGCCATGTGACCCTGGCTAGGTCACTTCATTTCTCAGTGCCCCAGGCAATTCTGTAAGACTCTCCATTGCAGAGAAGATGCTACATACATTAGTAGGAGTTTCCTCTTCCAGGAATTGCCTATGCCAGTCCAGATACAGGTCCAGTCTAGTTCCAATTTCTGTCATTGGTAGGAAGTTTTTCCAGACATTGAGCAAAAAATCTGCCCCCTCTGCTCCTAGTTCTGCCCTTCACGCCCTTGGGACATTTTCCAGCTAAATCTTTTCTTCTCGGGTTCCTTTCCTAATGTCTTGATAGAGCCATTCCTAGTATCCCCAACAAAGGTGTTTGTGTGTGTGTGCGTGTGTGTAGGCCACTGGAGAATCCCTGAGGTCTGATAGCCACCCATTGAGATTCCTTAGAGGGGAGTGTGGTGCAGTGGAAGGAAGCTTGACTGTGGTGTGTGGCCCTGGGCAAGTCATTTCCCCCTCTTTACAATTCAGTTTCCTCCTCCATAAAGTGAGACAGTTGGGGGTCTTCCAGTTCTTGATCCTGGGATAATGACCACCCACATCACTGTAGCATCTTAAGGTTTTACAAAGCATTGGCCTGAGCAGGCTTACCAATGGGGAATGGCCTTTAAGTAATAGTAAGGAATTGGGCTGGACCTTCTCTCTTCCAAAGGGCTTCAGGGAAGGGGCAAGGTGAGGCTCTAAGGGAAAGGAAGGAGGGGAAAATGGCCCAGGTGAAGAGGTTGAACAGAAGAGGGAGATGTGGGTGTCTTTGGGTGTCTCGCACAATCAACCAAGGGACCTAGGTCAGCTAACCTGAGGCTACCTTTAACTGACAATTATACAAACAAATCAGAGCATCTCACTGCGGCAGGCAGCATCCCCAAAGGCCAGCCTCTTCACAGCAGTCACTAACTCTCTCTCCTTACACCATCCCCCATCCCCACTCCTGCCCACACCCATCTACAAAGGGGGAAAGCTGCAGACTCTTTGCAGCCGGTGTGGGGCTACAGGATATTCTGAACTGGGCTGCCCACCCTCCCCGCCCCCCCACCCCATCCCCTGCTGCCTTCACTTTAACCAGATAGAACTCTTGCTTGAAGACTGTCCTAGCTCACTTTTTGGAAATGAAGCATTTGCTTTTTGACAAGCAAGTAGAATGTAAGCTCCCTGAGGGCAGGGATTGTCTCATTTTTGTCTTTGTGTCCATAGCGCCTTGCACTGTGGCTGACACGTAGTAGGTGCTTAATAAATGTTTGTTGAATAGAACAAAAGGAAAATGTGTATTTTGTTGGTGTTAGATAACATCCTTTCCTTAGTATCTTCCCCCACCCCGAGAAACAGTGGTTCAGGGTCCTGGATGCTTAGCACAGGGCAAAAGCCTGAGATATTCATGCAGGTCAAGGGCCATGGAATAACTGACCCCCAAACCTCCACTCCTGTGTGTTTTAGCGGGAGAGTGACAAGATCATTCCTGGTACAGGGGAAAGAGCACTGATATGGAGTCAGAGGCCTGGGTTCAAATCTTGATTTGGATGCTTAGCACCTGTGTGACCTAGTATAGAAGTCACTTAGCCTACTTGGTCTTCAGTTTCCCCTTCTGTAGAAAGAGGGGGTTGGACTGGCCATGAGGTCCTTTCAGAGTCTATATCTCTTTTCCTATGTGTGACCTTCGACATGTGGTCTCTTTCTTGGGCCTCAGTTTCCTCCTCTGTAAAACGAAGGGATTGGACTGGCCTCAGAGGGCCCTTCCAGCTCTAGATGTAGGTTCCTCCCTTGGCCTCATTTTCCTTCTCTGTAAAATAAGGAAATTAAAGAGTAGATGGATGGCCTCTGAGGGCTTTTCTGGCACCCATGATCCTTTGGACATCATGCCAAACCTGCACATATATGAAGATGGCACTATTGGCTACCAAAGGATCATAGTATTAAGGAGTGCCAGGATGAACACTGGTTTTAAGAATCAGAAGAGCCAAGTTCTTGCTACCTATGTGACCTTGCTCAAATCCCTTCTTTCTGACCCTCACTTTCCCCTAGAAAATGTGAGTTGGCCTAGATGACTTCAGGGATCCATTGCTCCCCTAAAATCCTATAAACATGAGCACATGAAAATTCTGGAGAGAAATGAGTGTGGAAATGGAAAAAAAAATGGGGAGAAAAAGAAAATTTCAAATCCATGATTTCATTAAACTTACTGGTAAAGAAGGACATGATGGTCACCAAGGATCAAAAGTCCCAATCTGTTTCTGTAATCAAGCTGGGCCCCACAGGGCATTTTGAACTTTCCCTTTCTTGCAAGAAGGTATCCTTCCTCCAGGAGTGTGCTAGTATGAGTTTAACAGCCAGCTTTGGGGGGGGGAGGGGTAACAATTCAAGATACACTTCACAGTTTCATCTGCATTATTAACATTTGAAAACACATCTTGATCTCTTCCTCCACAGAGGGCCTAATGAAATCAGAGAGGCCCTAGACAGGGGTGGGGAACCTGGGGCCTCGAGGCCATATGTGGCCTTCTAGGTCCTCAAGTCCGGCCCTTGGACTGAATCCCAACTTCATAGAACAAATCCTCTCTAGGTCCTCAAGTGCGACCCTTGGACTGAATCCCAACTTCACAGAACAAATCCCCTTCATAAAAGGATTTGTTCTGTAAAACTTGGATTCAGTCCAAGGGCTGCACTTGAGGACCTAGAAGGCCACATATGGCCTCGAGGCCTCAGGTTCCCCACCCCTGTATCCGACTATGCAGCCTATCTAGCTATATAAATGAAATGACAGGCATGATTGCCAAATAGTTATTTTCCCACAATCCTCAGCAATCCAAAAACCTCACAAAAAGGAATTGGGACAGGTATGGAGGAACTACAGCTGAATCCACAAAATCAGGAAATAGAAACGTCATACAAAGTTTAAAAAAACAAAAACTCATGAAATATCATAGGAGAGGACTTCTAGGTCATGTGACCAACAAGATGGAGAACTTGACATTTCCTCTGACCCTCATGACCTCTCAACCCTCTCTTAAAACAGAAATTATGCGCCAAAGATAAACAACCCCAGTTGTCTCCATGGTCTAGGACATTGGTGTCCTAGAAACAGGGTTCACTAAACCAAATATAAAGATACCTATTGACTACATATTGATTTAGAAAACCACCTATCAATATTAAAATTTATGTTCTTTTGTATTTTTATGTATTTTGTTAAGTATTTCCCAATTACATTCTTGTTTGGTTCAGGCTGTACTTGGGAATGTCTGTGGCCCACATGTTTGACACCTCCTCAGTTACCAAGAACCCAAAAGAAGTTTAAAAAAAATAACCTGAACTAATGTCTACCTTGAATTAACTCATGAGTCCCTTCAAGCCACATCTAGACACACTATGAACATAATGACCCAGTGATACTGACTTTTTTGCTCTCCCATCTCTACATCTTTGCACTGGCTTCCTTCAAACCTCTAGTCAAATTCCAGCTTCTGCAAGAGGCCTTTCCCAGTCTACCCAGTGCTAGTACCTTCAGAGATGACCTCCTACTTATATTGTCTATGTCTTGGATATACATAGTTGTTTTCATGATATCTGTCCATCCCCATTAGAATGGGAATGCTTTTGCCTTTCTTTGCAGCCTCAGTGCTTTGCATAATGCCTGGAACCATAAGCTCTTAATAAATACCTGATGGTGATGATGATATTAATAACAAAATGGTAAAAATCATGCTGTTATATCAGTAGATACAGAAAATTCCTTTGATAAAATATTAAAAACCTGGAAATGAACAGAAATGGACTTTTCCTTAGTATGATAAACAGCATCTAGCTCAAACCAAGGGCTGGTGTTATTTGTATTGGAGAAACACTAGAAACTTTTCCATCAAGATCAGGGGTAAGAAATCCTAGCTCTAAGAATGACAAGAAAAGAAATTAAAGGGACAAGCACAAGCAAAGCTGAAGCAAAATTATCTCTGCAGAAATTGTGGTGGTTTCCCTAGAGAATCACAGAGATTCAAGGAAAAAATTGATCACAATGTTAACTTCAGGAGAGTAGCAGGATATAAGGTAAACTCACAAAAATCATCAACCTGATCCCCAAAACTATCATTGGTACTGGGAGTACCAGTACCAGAGTGGGGTGGGAAGATCTTGAGGAGAAAGGGCCTGTCATCCTCACTACTGCTACCACCACCAATTGCCAATGGGACCAATGGGACAGTCAAAACAGCCTAGCTGGAGTATCAAGGTATCTTGAAGGAGAGACAGGGACAAAGCCAGCCAAATCAACCCCACTGTACATTAGGTGGAGATGGACCAGGACCCTGCACCCAAGAGCAATGCCCTCT